AAGCAAGTCCTTCTCCAGGAATTTGTTGCTGCAAGATAAGAGGGCTATTGACTTTAAAGTTTAAAATTAGACAAATGTATGGAGGGAAGGCCCATCAACATCTATTAGCCACAAAGGCCTAAAGCATGTGACTTGCCACTTTAAAAAAGGACGTTGGATTAGATGGACCATTGGTTCAGTCCAAAAGGGCTCTTATGGCACCATAGTTATACCCACAGGATCATGGTATAATACAGCATAGCATGCATTACTGATTGAGACCACTACATTCCCTTGACATCTTTGTAGGTAAAATTGGGTGCCTGTAAGATTATAGCAGAGATGGTTAAGATTTAGAACGCAGGTGTGGAACTTCAGACATGGGCCAAATTTATTTATTTATTTATTTATTTATTTAGGGAACTTCTATGCCGCCCCATTTGCCGAAGCCTCAAGGCAGCTCACAAACATAAATAAATAACATCATATAAAACAATATAATTTAACAGTATAAATTAAGTCACCCTGGCCAAAGAATAAAATAAATAATATTAACAATTAAAATAACGTTTGAATAAAAAGGTCTTCGCCTGGCGCCGAAAAACAAATAATGACGGCACCAGGCAGACCTCTCTGGGGAGCGCATTCCATAGATCTGGTCCTCAGCAGTTTCAGATGGCTCCTTTTCCTTTTATCGCCAATCATTTTGTGGCTTCCCAGGTTCTTTGCAATTTTTTCTCCATTCTCAAAGTTTGAAATGCCTCCTGCAAGGCTGAAGAACTTTCGGGCATAATTTATGTATGCTTAAACAGAGAAAGTTTTACTTTATGCCCCAGTGAGCATGTCCCATGCTGGACGTTGAAGAGTTTTGTTTTGGATTGGTTTGGTTTTGGTCTAAACACGCTTAAGGAGTCTAAACTCCCCCACCCTTAAGCTAAAATATTTGCCTCCAATTATTTTGCCTTTGATCCTAGCATTTTTGCCCTCAGACCTGCCTACCACTAGAAGCCCCTTTTCCAAAACAGGATTTAGCCTTCAGGATGAATGAGCTTCCGTGCCCCTGATTTAGAACTATTAGGTTCTTTACCCTCTTTGATACAGAACTGTCAGAGAATCTGTGGTCCTTCAGATTCTCTGTTCTTTTAATGCCATATTCATTTCCTTTCTTACCTTATCTGTCGTTCCCTTTTGATTCCAGAAAGAGATCTCAACAGCTAAAGTTCCTGGCTGCATTGACTCTTTCCCCAGTTCCTACAATTGCAGCCCTACTGTCCCCTGTGAGAGCCCAACTTTCTTCACTGTAATGAGATAATATACTTAGTTTGATACCATCACAAATTGGACAAGGAGCTGTTCCTTCTCAGTATTCATTGCCATCTTCCTTTAGAAACTTTTCCCTAGCTCTTCTCTTCCCTAATTTTTCCCTAACCTGGTGCCATCCATAGGTTTTTTGTACTACAACTCCTAGCATTCCTTGCCATAAGACAATAGTGCTGGTTGGAAATTTTAAACCTTGATCTTATGGTGAGGTGGGCTTTTAGACAGATGTATTCTGTTAAGAATGCAGCTAACGTTTATCTCCCTCAATCACCATTCCACGCTTTACAATTGCTTCTAAATTCCTCATATGTTAAAATATTTAGTAGTCTTGGTTAAAAAAAGAATAATACTCTGAGCACGTGCTGTTTTGCATTTAAAGCTCACTTAAATCTGAGTACCTTCCAGATTACTACAATAAAATGGAACTTGCTTCTCCCTCCCTCATCTCCTGCTGATCTCTGGGTGGTCATGATGAGGGGCTGGTCTGCAGAACTGTGGACCTTGGCCATAGGGTCCAGACCTACCTGCATCACTTGATTAGGCATGCTGCTTCAGGCGGATTGGAACTGAATTTGACCACTGCACCAGGTCAGATATGTCTACATCAAATTCTCCTGCCCCTTCCAATAAACAGAATTTTATATATAATGCTGTGTATGCATTAACAAAATCTGTTGCAATTTGCCTGTCAGTGGCCACTGAACTTGTTACAGTAACCTTCTCCCTAGCAATGACCACACCAACACAAATCCATCTTGTGGCAACTGTCCCTATAGTCTAGTATAGTCCAACTATACCCTCTAAAATAAAACAATCAGTCTGTTGTCATGTAGTGGGGCTCACCAGCATCTTTTCCCACCATTGCTTAAGCAGTGTTGTCCTCCCAGCAACCTCCTTCTCCATTATCCAGGTAGCCACCCTTAATCACACACCTTTTCCCATCCGTCACTAGAAGCTCCATACTGAAGCTAGGAAATGCATTGAGAACACCAGCCCAGGACTCAGCCTTGGAACACCCAAAGTAAAGAGAGCCAGTGTGGTGCAGTGGTTAAGAGTGTGAGAGTGGGACTCAGGCGACCCGGGTTCGAGTCCCCGCTCGGCCATGGAGCCAACTGGGTGACTTTGGGCCAGTCACAGCCTCTCAGCCCACCCTACCTCACAGGGTTGTTGTTTTGGGAATAAGATGGAGGAGGAGAATGATGTAAGCTGCCTTGAGCCCTTTGAGGAAAAAGGCAGGATAGAAATCGATAAATAAATAAATAAATAAATAAATAAAAAATAACTAGAGAGAACACACTGGTTCACACATGAATGTGCATCACTTGATTTCTCATCACTTGACAATTAGATTTATGTTGTTACTATTATTACATTGCATCTATATCTTGTCTTGTGAGGAACCCAAGGTTACTTATATAGTTCCATTTTATCGTTACAATTAAGAACCCTGTGCCATTGTGCTTATGGTTTCTCCACAGCTTTAATCTTCACGACAACCCTGTGAGGTAGGTTAGTTACAGGATCAGTGCTCCAAAGAAGTTTTACAGCTGAGCAGGGATTTCAAGTTGGGCCTCAAGACCAACAAATTAGCTATTCCATTATGATGGATATCTTTGAAGTATACAAAAAACTTTCTAGACTGTTTAACCATTGATCATTTGCATATGCAAATCACCACAACTGTTCATAAACCGTTCTTTGGTACAAAAGTGGGCTATTTTAAGTTGTGGGGTGTCTTTCCTTGACCAAGAAGGAACACTTATCCCTAAACTGGGATGAGAACCAAACACTTCAAAAGATGGGAATATGGGAGCAGCAGTGGGGAACCCAGTCCTTGACCCTTCAGATGTTGTTGGGCTACAAATCCCATAACCTCTGACCATTAGCCATGATGGGTAGGGTTGATGGGAGCTGAAGTCCAACAACAACAAAAAGGCTGATGCTGTCTTCTGTGTCCAGCTAGCCTATTACTGTGGACACTGACTGGCAACAATGGCTCTCCAGGTTTTCAGGCAAGAATGTTTCCAGTCCTACTTGGAGATGCCTGAGACTGACCTCCGGAGCTTTTGCGTGCAAAGCAGGAGCTGGACCACTTAGTCAGACTTGAGAAGCCAATGGCTCCCGATAGCAGCCTCCTCCTCGTAGAGAGGAACTTTTTAGCTACCTCGCTCGCCCTTCCAGAACTTCCTCTAGCAGGCCCCGAAATACATTTTGTGCCGCAGTGGGAGAAGAGAAAGCACGCGAGAGAAGCTGTAGGACGGGGCCACGCCGTGGCAATTGCAGCTGGGCCAATCTTTGGCACGGGTGCGGCAGGGCACTAGGACCCGGTGGAGGTTGCGGTCGGCACTCGCCCCGGCGCTCGCTCGCTGCTTCGTTCGTTCGTTGGCTGGCTTGCCTGGGCTTCCTGGCCAGAAACGACGGCGGCGCCGGCGGCCTTGCCTGCTGCGGCTTCGGCCTGGCTGCCCTCCTCCCGCACCGTCGCTGGCTTCGGCCGGGGGCCCCCGCCGCGGTCCCGGCCATGCTGCACCGCGGGGCCTGACCCCTTCCATCTCCTCCTCCTCGAGCCATGTGAGGAGCCGGCTGACACCTCCCACAGGTGAGGAGCCACGGAGCGGGGCAGAGGGGGGAATTTCGAGGAGGCCAAAAATTGCTGCCCAGCCCGAGGGGAGTTGTGCGACGACGTGGCCCAGTTTCCCCCTCCCCTGGGAGCGCGGGGAGCAAGAAGGCGGAGGAAACGGCAGAGAGAAGTTGGCCCGAGTCCTTGTGAGGTGAAGGAGAAGAGGGGGCGCGTGGGGGGGGGGCAGGCGGCACGGAGCAAGTTTCATCTTGGGGAACGAAGGTGTTCTTCCTCTTCCCCATTCCCGGGGGAGAAGGCCTGCTCTCCGGCGGAGGGGCCCCGCGAGGGCCCTGGAAGGCGTGGGGCCTGCTCCTTGGAACTGGGAGCGAGGCCGGAGGGAGCTCGGGGCGCCGTGGCCGTCTGCAGCGGAGTCCCCTGTTGCGGAAGGAGCCGAGTGCGAGGCTTCTTCTCTGGGAAGTCCGTTCCCGGAGGAGGGAGGGGTGGGCGAGGGGCGGGAATGCTTCTCCCGGGTTAAAGGGCCACAACTTCTAATGGCTGGGACGAGATCCCGGAAAAGGCAGAGATTGTTGGGAAGCCGGGAATGGTGGGCTGGGGTGGGAGAGGGCACTGCGCTGGAGTGGCGCCGGCCTGAGGGGCTGGGTGAGGAAGAAGGGGTTGGACCGTTGGGGATTAAAAAAATGAAGGGGGGCGGTAGGGAAGGCCTGGTCTGATTCCGATCTGGTTTTTGTTTCAAGAGAAAAGGGGGAAGGGAATACCATAGCAATCATAATGATCAGCTAACTGTATGTGGTGAAGAGTGAAGCGTTCACTCCCTTTGAAGTTGGGGAGGGCTGCGCTGCGTATTCTGTGGGATGTCCTTAGGCAGCCTCGAGTGGCCAGTTTTGTATGCGAGCGTGAGGATTCCCTTCACTTCAAGAGCTTTGATGGAAAGGAAGAGAAGTGCAGATTCTGGAGAAACGGGGCGTATGAACTCCTGTAGATGTAGGACGCGTGAAGAGCGGACTTGTGGGCATTCCTAGAATGACAAGGTGATAGAGTCCATCAGAAAGGGGGTAGGATGATGGTAGGATGCTACCTATCTGAAAATTACTTGTAAACAGGAACGTGGGTAAGGAGGTAGCATACATGCACACCTACTATTATCCTGAGTATTGTGATGTTTGGAGAAAAAAGCCTTTTTGTTGGACAGATAAGAGAGAATGTATTCTCTGATTCTGAGTGGAGATTATATTCTTTCTATAGTGGTAAATCCTGGAATACTTAGCATGAGGTTGGAATTATCCTGGCTGTGTAGCTGGTGGAGAAGGTAGCATCTGATACTGAAAATCCTCCGTATGGGTTTAACATGTGTTTGAGAAGTATTGTATCTATATCTGATGGGTTGATAGTTCTGATGGCAATCTCTTTTGTATTGGGGAAGTGAAAGGCTAAGATCTTTATGAGAGGGCATCTCTGAGGATGGTTTGGGAAGATGATGGAAGGTGAATGAGCCCTTTGTGTTTGTCTGAAGGTGGAGTGTGAAAGTAGGGAATCTTGGATGGCTGATTTTTAGAGTGTGTAAAAGAGTTGCTGCCTTCCCCTGCTTAAACATATGTGCTGAACCTTGATGCTACAATCCTCTTCCTTTGCTCCCTCCCCCATCCTTGCAGGAAGTGACTGGGAAATGGCAGCTGTGTTTGTTGCTTTTTGAAATGTCCTTTTTAATCAAATATAGTTTCAGTGTTTGGCTCTTCCCAAGCTCCTTGGCTAGATTAGCTTTGTTCCCCAGCAGCCAACTGGCAAAAGATCCTGTCATTTGACTTTAACACCTTTAAAAAAAAGTTATACAGATTGTGATCATATAGGTCTTCTAATTGAAAAAAAAATAGCAAGGCCTGATGTGTGATCCATATCTTTGGATTTATTCAAGGGTAATGATTCTTACAAGTTTTCACATATGGCCTTTTGACACTTAAGTGTCCACCCTAGATTAAACAGGGATAACTGCTTCCTGTTGCCTTTTTTGGATGAAATATTTCCTCTGGGCTTCTTATTCTGAAGTTCATTTTTCAGACATAGAAACACATCTTTGCATGAGTAGAGTTCTAAGGTTGTGCATGCAAAACTTAATAGACAAATAATCTACTTCCATTTGAAGTGGAGCTACAGTAAAGCATTTTTCATAGATACTTCCACAGGTCACCTTGGTTGTGCTTCATGGCAATAAGCTTGCATCCATATTTATTTATATTTAATAAATAATATTTAACTGTTTGATACCCAGCTTTTCATAATGGCCTATGAATATAACAATATGGTTGTTTTGCAGAGCAAACTAAATGATGGAGCATGGTGGGGAGTGGTGGATTCTCTACCAGTTCCAAAACCTTGCTTGCTGAGGAGAGAATAAATTTGCTAGCAGTTCTCCCCACCTCTTCTATTGATTTCAGTGGAAGGAAAAATGTCTACCTAGTCCAAGAAACAGAGGAAATGGAGGAATGAATCTAGAAGATCCAAAACTACTGCTTCTTCATCTCTTATTGGGTCCTAATGCAACCTACTGCCAGCAGGAACATTGAACTTTCCATGGGTGTAAGTAGGGCCTCCGGAGTAGACTACATCTCTCCACAGATGGTGGAGTTTCCTTCCTAATCCTTGGATTGGGTCTGAGCAGGTTTTACATTATTGTTATAATGTAAAATTTATAACATGCAAACAGCAGCCTAACCTGATTAATTCAAGAAAATAAAAATGGTTTTATGCAGCCATATGCATGTATCAGATTCCATAAACCAGATGTGTTAGACTACAATTGATAATTCCTAGTTAGCATGGCCAACTGATGGGAGATATAGCCCTGCACATTTGGAGGACCCCAGTTTGGGGAAGGCTGCACTAAGCAGTAGTTAAGAAAAGAAGTGATGATTAGACAAGACTATAGCCCTTCTAAATACATGTAAATAGCATTGCCCTACCCACTGGGATACCTCAACCTAGATAAGGTATTATCTGAAAAGAATATTCTACTGGATCATCTGTTGTCATTTTTCACACTATGAGTCCTTGTTCTGTCATTCTCATATTTTAAAAATATCTGCTTCTTCTGGTACCATGAGAGAGACATAGGCTGCAGATATAAATGAGATCTCCTTTGACTATATCAGCTGTTAAGTGTTATCCCTGCATGTGTGGTTCCTGTCAAGCCACACCCCTCCCCTTTAAACTCTTTTTCTGTGTTGGCTGCAATTAATTCATCCATTTGGCTTGGCTTTTTTTTCTTAGCAAGCCATTCTGCCTTCTCCTTTAATTACAGTGCCTTCCAATCACCTCAGCTCCAGCCCAGCTTGTCCATGTGGTGAAGCAGCAGCTGCTTTTTCCGCCGCTACCTTGGGCCTTGAAGGGATATTTTATGGCTCAGGTCAGCTGCTGTGCACTGACAGGCTAGGATCCATTGCTTTTAAAGTCGAAACAGCAAGTGACTTAGGGTGGTCTTAGTGCAAACATGGATGATTCTTACAGTGCATAGGCAATTGGAGGAAGGGTACTTCCTGTACCACTACTAGTAACAGCATTCCCCCCTCCCCCTACACACACAGTTACAGATGAAGCTTTCCTATTTAGGTAGTAGAGCTTGGCATGACATTGCAGTAATAAAGGTGAGTTTGAGTGTGAGAGAAGGAAAAGCAAGCTTCCTGATACAAAAGTTACTGAACAAATGAGGCAGAAACTGTGACTGAAATATTTTTCATTACCATTTAGTAATGAATGGTAATGAAATGTGCAGTATGTATGTGCAGTATGTGCAGGAACATTTATACCTGTTCTGGGTACATAAAATTCACCTCAGCTGTGATTGTCACATGAGGCAAAATAGATAAATATTGATTTAGACCAAGTCAGTTATCTAATTTGACCTCAGGTTGGCAGGGGAAAATCCTAAAACTGCTCTACATTCTGACCATTTCCCTGTAGATGGTCTATCTTGGGGCTTTACAATTGAATCACTTAATGTGCACCAGTCTGGTGGAAAAGCATTTAAAGCCTTCTTAAGATACGCCTGTGGGCAAGAACATTTGTGAATGGCCTATTCTTTTTCAGGTTGTCTGTACAGGTACACCCATGCAGTTCTATGCAGAGCAGTCTCCCGAAACTTCCAGAGTTAGATCTGCAATTTTTGGGGTATGAAGCCTGCCTTCAGAAGGTATCCAAATTACATAGAAGGGAGGATCCCACATCCTTAGTTCCCTTTTAATCACCACCACTGCAACAGTGGTGCTTCTTCGTGGTTCTCATCTGGAACAGGGGTAGATAACACATACCCTGTGACCCCCATGTGGCTCCATCCTGTTTGGTGATCACTATATTGCCAAATTTGTTGAAGGTGGCAAATAAAATTGTTGTTATGATGCTTAGAAGGGCCAAACTGATCTTGTTTTCAAGTGAAACTTGGCCTTTATAAGGCTTGCAGTGGTTTCCTACTGAATTTTGGTGGCACACTACAGATTTTATTTGCTGCCAACTTATTTTATTTATGTATTTGAGATATTTGTAGGCAGTCCATCACTCTGCATCTCTGAACGGCTCTCAACAGTTTTGCAGTGATGGCAGAGGTACAGCCCATTGGGGGGTGTCTATAGGGTTGAAAAGTCTTAAAAGACCTCTCCTCCATAGTTTTCTTAGAGCTTTTCCATTCTTTTGTTTTTTTTCCCTGTAGATCACAGCTTTTTACTTTACTTCGTTCTGCCAATTTGCTCCTATATTATAGTGGCTTTCATTTAAGAAATGTAAGAGTTGAAGTAGCAAATACTTGTGACAGATAGCCATAGCTTCTGTATGCTCTGTCTTTGGGAGAAGCACAGGGTGCAGCCTGTTCTTTTGAAATTCATAAGGCAGATTTAGTGAAATATATGACCATATCTTTGTACCAGTTGTCAGCACTGGAATCCAAGAACCAAGTTCTAGTCTCTGTGCTACAATGCCATTTTGCTCCATGCTGGAACTTCTAGTCTCTGTGCTGTTGTCAAATTCCATTACTATAATGGCTTCCTCCGATTCACTATCAACCATCGTGCCACACACATGCACACCACAATGTTGGGTGCTCTTTCTCCTTGGAGCCAGTGGTCCAGTGCCATCTCATGGAGAAACCTTTTAATCCATTGGTCTACTGCAGCCTCAGTCAGCTGCTTCTCAGTGTAATTATCTTGGTGGCTGCTGCATCTCCCCAACAAGCATATGAACTTTGCATCTTGTGTTAGAATCTCAGCCTATGAGTGGTCCGTTAAAATAATTATGTTATGTGGGTAATATGTCTGTGTTATTGCAGAAAACGTGACACCTACTGATTTCTTGAAAAGAAAAAAACACTTGGTTTCCATATGGGATAGCAAATACAGGAAAGGGAGGAAAGGTACTTGTGATTGTCCTTTACCATGTCAGTTCTTGGACTACAAATTGCTGGAGAGAAGGTTGGTGAGATTCTCAAACAGTAATCTCTCCTGCTAAGAAAGCTAAGTAGTTCTGCATATACATAGCATACTTCTGCAGATAGACATGTGCTGTGGGATCCTTTCATTACTTCTGTGGTATATCCAAAGATCAAGAGATTCTTAGTCCATTGGTCTATACCAGGAGTGAGTGATCATTACCATTTGGAGGAATAAGGACTGTAGCCTTTTTTGACTTCTTTGTCTGTCCCACATTCCACAACTTTCCTGTCCAGTGGAAAACCAGCACCATAGTCAGTTCTGGAATTGTTGTACTGTGCTTATCTGTATTTGCATGAGGAAAATTTGACATGCATGATATGTCATGGCATATCATGTCATGTACAATATTGTGACAACCAAACTAAAGAAGACCACTTTGAATCTATCACTGAAGGAGATAATAGGCAATTTGCCTGAAACAAATATCCACCCCAGGAATAAACTATGCAACATGGATTCTTCTTGAACAATTCATGGTGCACCTAACTAACGATTGGGCTCATCCATTCTATGTGGGGCTGCTCTTGAAGGCTGTTCAGAACCTGCAGGAGTTAACATATAATTTGGGGCCATTTGCATTTGTTTCTGAGCTTGATTCAAGGTGCTGGTTTTAATGTATACAAGCCTTTATCTGACATAGGATTATAGTACATGATGGAGCATGTCTTCCAGCCAAATCTAGCTGGACACTACAATCCCCATGTGAGTCTTTTCCAAGTGTTCCATGTCCAAGGGAGGCCAAGAGGACAGGAAAAATGGAGGGGGCCTTCTCAGTATCGGTCCCCCAACTATGGACTGATCTCCCCAACGCCCAAAGAGCTTCCACTAATAGGCAGTATGCAAATAAATGAGTAAATAAATAGAATTATATTCCTATGAACATTATTCATTTATTAAACTTGTACCCTGTCTTTCTACCAAAAATGGAACCCAAGGGGCTTGGGGGCAACATGTCAGGTACTTCTGTATGTGCAATATTTATGAGCATAGTTGACATGCTTGTGAAATACAATGAATGTATTTCCTACAGCATAATTATGTGTGGATATTCACACTAATCCTTGCAAACCCTCACTAATTATACTCTTCATAGCTTGGGAGCATCCACCATAAAGAACTGCTTCCTGAAAAAGCTGTTTTCACTATAGTGAGCCAAGAATCTCCCAAGAAAGAATACAGTAGACTCTGAAAATGTTATCTGAATAGCCAGCTTAGTAATAGGACTTTATACTGCTTTGTGTCCAACTAGTTCATTTCCTATATTTTAATTTTTCATTCAAATTCAAAATGAATTAAGCGCACAATACAAATTGTGGAACTTGCTGTGTTTCCTAATTGGGCCTATTTCCTAAAAGTGAATCAAGTAAGAATACTATAGAGATTGGGGGGAGGGATAATTTTTGCCGCCTTAACCCCATAGACCCCAACTGAAAAAACTATTTTTATAGGGGAAAACCTGGACCCAAGAGTCATAAATTACATTCTTGATCTTGTGAAAAGAGTGCCTATCAAGAGATTACATAATGCGGGGTCTTCAACGCAGCACCTCCGGGCTACTTCAGTGGTGCCCACAAAGGGGATTTCCAACATGGTGCCCATAGGCAACTGAAATAGTTTTTTCCCCAGTGTTTTAAAAAAATAAGTCCATGGATTAGTTAGAATTGTGAAGAATTTCCTAGCAATGATATATAAGCTTCAAAACAGTACATATTTGAATAAGTATTCAAATTTTAAATTGGCATCTGTATCCGACCTCATCATATACTGAAAGTGTTGCAAGATCTTCAGACAATTGCATTATGGGAGGTACAGTGGTACCTCGGCTCATGAATGCCTCAGTTCACGACGAAATCAGGTTGCGAACAAAAATTTCATAAACATTTTGACTCAGGTCATGAACTCTGCATCGGGTGGTGACTGCAATTGCAGTCATCTTCCCACCCACCCCCGAGTGGGGAGATGGCTGCAATCATGCTGGGGGTGGCGGGGAGATGGTCGAGATCGTGCCCGTCTTTCTTGCATGAGCGTGCCCGTGATTGCACCCGTCTTTCCTGCACGAGTGCAACCACGATCTTGGCCATCTCCCCCCGCCAGCACAATTGC